ACGTACTCCTGCCCTTGTAAGGTTCACAACAACCCCGGTACCCACATTCTAACCGTCTTTTTACCCGGATTCTCTATCGGTCCCTCCCTTACTTCTAGCTGGCAACCCAGACGGGTTGGTCTGCCCAGGCTTTAGGTGCCTGAAGGACACCCTCCTCTTGGTCCATACTTTCGGAGCATATAGCCTTTTCCTCCGGTGCGTCTAAACCGGCGGTTCAGCTGACGTGTCCCCCACTAAAGGACCTGATCGCTCGGTTCACCAATCTTGGGCCCCAGTTTAAATTCAACCAATATATATCGATAACTAGCCAGGTGGATATATATTAATACTAATTACCCTGCTGATACCAATTAATACGGATTGTAATCGATATATAGCATATATTCAATAAGTAGCAATATACAGTAATAATTGATATATAGCAGATTCGATATATATCGAATATCATATTTATCTGATACTTATCTATCCTGCCAAAATCAATTGAAATATATATATCGTAATCATTAGCAAATATGTCGTATGTTGGAATGAAATTATTGTAAATTTAGAATCTATCTAGGTTGATTCCAAATAAACATAGGTTGTAACAGAATTCCAAAATGTGCCCGGGTTGCTAAAGAATTCGAATTCAACTTATAATAAAATTAAGTGGATTCTAAATTATTTTACCGAGTATGTTGTTTTGGAATTCAAGTCGCTTTAGAATAATATTTATTAATAACAATAATCTATTAGCAAATTAATTCAATTTATTAAAAGCATTACATATAGGTATTGTTTTTACAATTATGATTACTAGGATGACAACTACTACCGTATAGTACTTTCATTTTTTTACATTTTTGTCGCACGAATTTTTGCAATTGTATTTAATATTGCCAATTTGTGAAGAAGATTGCATAATCGATGCCTCTCAGACGCTTATGAGTGTTGAGGAGATATTATCCAATTCTGGAAACTTGTTAGAACCCAAAGGAAGAAGTTCATTAATATTATATGTAACTTTAATAATATCCGATTTACATCTAAGTTTATATGTGTCATTTTTTGATACTTCGAGAATTTTGCATAGAAGTGTTTTTCAATCAGTATGTGTCCTATCAATATCGGAAATCTTAAGGTACACTAAATCGCCAACATTGTATTTGTTGTTAAATTTTTTATTATGTTTGTTAAGTTGTGATTTCATGTCATTGTGATATCGTTCAAGAGACTTTGTAGCGACGCTTCGATAAATTTCATGAGCTGATGTCTTTGGAATGTTGTTCCTGTTCCAGAGTGTATGTTTAGATTTAGGTTTAGAGTCATGTTTATCTAAAAAAGACTGTAAAATAAAAATAAATTTAACTTATCTGTTATGCTATGTATAAAATTAAATAACATGCAATTACCTGAGTATTGGTGCCCATGGTGGTAGCCATCAAAACAGAAGGTTTATGCCTTTTATTTGGACGAATGTCAGAAAAATTTTCAGGTAACCTTCTGCCAGCAGTTCTATCTTCAGGCAAACTTCTATAAACAACTCCATCTTCGGGTAAGCTTCTACTAATTACTTCATCATTGGGCAAGCTTCTACTAATACCTTCATCTTCGGATAATTCATTTAAAGCATTTTCTTCATCAGATATCTATTTTATAGAATCTTATTAATTACCAAAAAAAAATTTTTTAAAACGATAATATTAAATACTTACGTTTATCACAGCATTTTCTTTTTCAGTTGCCCTTACGCTTAACCTTTCATCTGATTGCTCGTTTATTCTTTCATTTAACTGCTCATCTAATCTTTCATTCACTATGTTATCCAATACTTCATCGTCCACTATTTCGTTCAATCTTTCATTTATCATGTCATCCAATTCTTTATCGTCAGTTATTCCGTTCAATCTTTAATTTTCCAATTCATATTCAAGCAATTCCTGCTCCTAAAAGAATTAAATAAATATTAATTGTACTAAAAAAAAAATAAAAAAAAATTTACTTCTATGTTTAATGCTGCGGCTCCTAAAAGTGATTCTACAACTTCCTGCTGATCAAAATCATCTTGAGGTTCGGATGGTTCGAACCAATTCTCAGGTAACTCATCTTCCGAATTAATATGTCGATCTTTGATTTCTTTTAATATTGTAAAATGCCGTAAAGGGTTTTGTCCAAATACTAATGCATATGGACTATTTTTAGTTTGTCTTGATGTTTGAATATTCATCGCATCTATTAAAAACATTAATAAATTAGATTGGAAGTATAAATAACAATGAATCAAAAAAAAAAAAAAAAAAACTTACAGCAGCATAAAGGTACTGCTCGAGACCAGTCCTTTCTTCCGGTGTCTTCCATCCACTTGGATACTTTTTGCTGAAGAACATCATTCGCACGTTCCACAAGCCCTGGCTTTGCGGATGCCTCGGATAGCCATTAATAATATGGACGTCTGGCCAAATAGTTAATAATTCTCAGATTATTTCTGCTGTGAACTCGCGACCATTATCGCTCTGGAGAATAATTGGAGTGCCAAAGCAAACAAAAACGTCAAAAAGGAAGATAGCAACCTCAATTGGTCGCTTGCTTGTTAATGCCCGGGCCCAAGAATACCGAGTAAAATGATCACGCATGTGACAGATATAACGAAAATCACCATCGGGGATACTAGTCATAGAAATCAAGTTGACCTGAATCCTATTAAGAAAAGCACTGGAAATTATCGGCTTTGCAGCCACTAGATTAGGAAAATTCCTTCGTGTTGTACATGTTGTGCAATTCTTTACAAATTCTTTAACGAAAGATTGTGGAATATAGCAATATTGTTCAGAAACCTGTATTAAAATAATAATAATAATAATACAGTAATAATAATAAATAAATAAATAAATAATATAAATTAATATTCCATTTTATAACCTTATTAATTAATCTGTAGATTATATACCGCTTCCCAGAGTTTTGTTGAACCAACATGTTTCAAGACCCCTTGATGTAAACTACACAGTATTTCATATATTTTGTCAACAGGGCACACGGGTAAGTTTGAATCAATTTTTATAAGTTGCAATATAGGGTTAGTTGACATTCCAAGGTCACGTAAAGCAAATGTTTTTTTGGCCCAGTAACGTTCTTTCGCATTTCCAATTTTGGTATTTGCAGGTTCTTGTAAAACTCTAATGCAAAGGTCGAAATCTTCATATGTAATGAAAGTTTTACATCGTCTATTAACTGATTTGCTGTCAAGAAATTTGTCAAGCAACTCTTCAAATGCATTGCGAAATAAAAATAGATAATCGTGAGATTCAGCAAGAATTTTAAAATGAATAAAAAAAAAAATTTTTCAAATATATGTAGAAAATTTGCATAATTTTTTTCTTTATTATACGTAATATTAACCATTGTAAACTATCATAAACTATACATTACTATTAATCAGTTACATATTTATTACATATCGATGAGTTTAGAATCAACTTAGATGGAATTTAAATTTCATATCAACTTAGGCTACATTTGGAATTCTATTCCAACCTAGGTGGATTCTAAATCCACAATAATTTCATTCCAATGTACGACATATATATTAGCTTGTTAATTATAATTATTTATATCTGGCTTGTATTTACAGAGTATTTTTTAATTTTTTTAAGTAATTTTCTTTTATATATTTTTGTTTTTTTAAAAATTAAATTAATTTTTTTATTATTTTTTAATTTTATTTTAATTTTTTATGTTTTTTTTAAATTATATTATTTTTTGTATTTTTTTTAAAAATTAATTTTTTATTATATATTTATTTTTAAATTTAATTTTAAGAGTTAGGGTCCCATAGCCTAGTGGTCTAGGCGCCTAACCTTCTACAGATGAGGTCAACGGTTCGATTATAGCTGGTGGTAATTTAGTTCTGTAATCTACAGGAGCTTTCGAATGCGAAACCCTGTGACAATAAGACCATGTGAAGTACTTATTTGGCCTATAAAGAATTCTTGGAAG